TTTAGCATCCCCTTAAATCGCGAATTAGAAGCCCACTCTGTCGATAGATTATCGAGCCGTTGTAAGACATTAGAACGACTCTTCTTCAACGGGGACCAGTCGTTACATCTATTACATCTGAATCACAGGAGATACACGTTCTCACCAATTGTCTAGGTTGACGGGCTCACGTTATACACATTGAAAAATTGTACGCGCGCAACAGTTACTTTATAAAATATCAACATTATACATATGTATGTATAATGTTTTTATTTCATTGTGTGCATTCTTTTTTGAAATATTAAATATAATTGCATATAGATAATAATTGATGCTTCTTTAAAGATTCTAATAACAATAAATACTTATGTATCTTTGTGAAGCAACTTTGTATACAGAGCTGCTAATAAATATAGAAAGAAAATATTTGCACTTATAATTCGTTTATTTAATAATAGCTATAGGTTTAATAAATATATAATACGTTTAGATGGGAATTGTTTATAAAGTATATTTTTGTTAATTCTATATATTCCATATTTTGATGTTTAACGTTTTATAAATATTATATTTTATTATTTCGTTAGTGAACAATTAATTTATCGAATCTACACATTTATAATCATTACAATAAAACATCAAATAAAATGTGTGTGATGTAAATTAATAAATAACATAAAACTTATAAATAACATAACATAAGTTTATTTTACCAATTGTCTATCAAGCTAAGTTTTTAAAAAAAATATGAGTATATCAAATAAAATTGCTAAGGAGATATATTAAGATTAGTATAATTTTATCATAGGAGACTTAATATCCAGAGAAATTAATATTGAAAATCAAAAAGTATGTTTTATGTAAGAATAGTATCACTTTGTTCTTTTTATATTTTTATTTAAAGATTGAATATAATGCACATATTGCAAGGACAGTTTTATTTGGAACAGAATCATGCCAAACATAAAATATCTCCCTGTGCATTTTTTACCTTACAAATTTTTTTTAAATTTAGATGTTGGACAATTTCATGAAAAAACTAAATTAAGATAGATAAAAGTAATCATAAAAATGAAATTAAAACTAGTACGTAGACAATCTTTGATTAAAAGAACTAATTTGATTTGTATAAGCACGAGCAAACAGATAAAAAATAATAGAACGCAGATCCAATATTAAATATTGGCTCTGATATTAAATAAAAAAGTACTAATGTGGAGTGTACTCGAATCCATCCGCGGTCTTGTAAAGGTATACTCTATCTGTCAGTGTTATTTTTCCAGAATTAAACGGTACGGCATAAACTCCACGATGTTTTCCTTGTTCCTCGTATTCATATGTGAGTTTCATTTTCGCGAAATTTGGGGAGAAAGGGTCTAGATTATATCTGAAATTAAAAACAGTGTACATTAAAATTTTTTTTATAATTTATCATAGAAGCAACAGTACTAATAAAAGAAAATTTGAAGAAATTTGTCATTTTATACTTAAAAATGTATTTTAATAATTTCAGCTAATTCTGTAAAAATATTTAAGAAAAAAAATTTATTAATAAAATCTCTTAGAGATTACAAAATTTTTAATTTAATGGTAATGTTGTAAGGTCGATCATATTTATCATAATGTTCGAAATTCGCTAAAATTATCTTAGATCTGTGAAAGCTTCGATAATAAATAAATCAGGAATATAATTAATATATGTATGCGTGTAATTACTTCGGAATTGGTTTTATTATTCTATGTATACGTCCGGAGAAACAGTAGAACTTTCTATCTTGATCCATTGCCAATCTTCCTCGCTATAAGGGCATACAGGTTCCGATGTATTAATAATAATATTTGGACGATTTAAAAAATATTGTATACCACCTCTTGATATGTCACTAAGGTGCCGATACGTGCTGCTTGTCATGAGTACACAACGCATTACATCTGCGTATTCTTCCTGATAAGAAGAAATTACTCAATTAATCATTGTATTACTTTGAATAATCAATCTATTACTATTTTAATATATACTATATTAATATATATAGTACATTTTTAATAGATAGCATTAATTAACATTTTTAGTATGCGGTACAAACTTTTAATACTATATAATATATGTATAACATATAATATATAACATTTATAAAGCGTTTTATTAATAGCGGTTATTTATTGATATAACAATGGATGCAATTTTGTAAATTCTGTGACTTATAATTGTTGAGATATGCATACTATTGTGCTTGATATGATTAATTATAATTCAGATGAGTTACTAAAAACAAAAATTTGATAGATAACATTTTTATTATAATTCTATAAAATCTTATTAATCACGACTGTATTATTTAATTATTTTTGAAAAAAAAGTCTGTATTTCTCTTTTGCTTATTCTTAAGTCTAGTGCCTCATATGGCAATCTTATTTGTCACACTTGGGAAAATTAAAATTTAGTTATCTCATTCTATTAACAAATAATGCATGTAATAACACAATAAACATTATTATTAGAAACATATTAATTACTGGCTTTTCTTCGGCCTTAGTTGAATGTATCTCGTCGAACCATTCCCAATTTTCTTGTATATGTATAAACAAAAACGAATAATATTAATTGAAACAAATAGTTTCTAAATATGTATACATATAACAATATATAATCATATATTATTTTTTATATATATTGATATTTGTAATATTTTTTAAGCGTAACTCTAATTAATATCGATCCAGTCTTCTTGAGAATCTTCAGTATTAATCATATCGATATCACAGTTAACATATGCAACATTTGTTCCAATTAAACGAATATATGAATTCGGTATCTCATAATTATGACAGCATTTATTGTGTCGACTTAGACCATATCTGAAAACAATTATTATTAATTATTATTTAATTTATTATTTATTATTAAATATTATTAAAACATCAGATTTAATATTTGTTAAATTATAATTATCAGTTACCTTATATTTAAAATCGCATTAAGTGTTGAAATTTGCATGCGATTTCTAATTTTGGATTTCACCAAGTTTAAATGGCTGAACGTTTGTTCCACGTCAGCATTTGACCATGGCAAAGAAAGAAGTTCTAATACAAATTTGGCCAGATTTCCAAAAGGATTATTACCACCTGCGTCTCTATAAGCATTTACTTCCGCCCAAAATAATGTAGTGTTTGATATATTAATCCATTTGACAAAATTTATATTATGATATTCATTAATTATTTTTCCCACTATAGGATTAGATTTAAAATTTCTTAAAATGGGCGATATATCTTCCTTTATGGGATGTAAAATCTTATTTACAGAAAATAAGTCAATTTTCTGTAATATGTTATAATTATCAGGTAATCTAAAAATAATAATTAAATAATTAATCTTAATAAATCATAATCTTAATAAATCAAATTTTCCGGACATTCATATATTGATGTTAATAGTACTCCTAGAAAGACTTTGAAATGAGTAAAAATGTTGGGTAAGCGCTCAATGGTATAGGAATATTCTTCTAGATCTTTTAGATTTTTTTTTCCTATAAAAATGCCGTGTTAAGTCGATAATCGAAAGTGTCGAAGTATTGTTGTCGCTTTTCCGAGATGCTGA